CAGGCCAAAGATGCAGCACAGTAGGCAACAAAGTTCAAACATTATTGCTGTCCTTGGCCCTTACAATAAAATGCATCAGAATCTAGAGCAGTGTCAAAACAAAACTTTGTGGTTCCCCTGCTACAGTGCTGTAAAGAACCTTCCAAGGCACAATGTAGAAACCCTTCTTATGGGAAAGGAGACCTTGCTGTTGGATACTCAGGACAGAAGTGACTTGGTGATCAATACCATCATACCAGGAGAGACCCACTGACAAACTGTGACAGTCTGAGCTCCCACACACCACCTCCTTCTAATTTTTGGTTCAATTACTCTTCTAATTATGATGAGCAGAGGAAAAAATTGTTCCCTCCCATGGCATGTCCATTTGCTACAAAGTAATTACTTCTAATTCAAGAGTGTAATCAGAAGGGCATAAATGCTAACCACCACCGAGAACACTACACTCTCCATAAAAAGATCTGGATAATAGAATTCTGTTGCTTCCTTTCTGTTACAGAAATATACTATGCTATGGCTCACAGCTAATTAATGATAATTATCTGCATTCACCTGTTTGTAGCAGGTCTTAATAAGGACAAAGACAAACCCTCTGTCCATGATAGACAAGAGATCATTGAGGAAAAATGCAAGACTGGTGTTGAGCCTTTCAACCATTTCTGTGTCCTAGAGAGAAGGAAGAAAAAATACGGGAAATGAAAAGAACATTGTAGTTGTATGGTAATATGGCAATACTACCAGCTCAAATACTACCAGACAGATCCTGGCCAGGCATCAGCACACAACATGCTGAAGCTCTGATGCCTGAGCAGTGACCTCAGTTAAGTTTAATTATTGGTTATTACCTTCTGAAACCGAGAGACTATATCACCAGCAATTGTGCTGACCAAAGCAGTTACATCATCCATGAAACGCTCAGGAAAACGATTCTTTCTTGGCGCATCCAGTTTGTCAGCAAAATATAAATGATGCACCATGCTCTTCACCTATAGGAATATAAATTACAACAGTGTCACTTGCAGAAATGTAGTGGAAGGGAAGCACAGTTGTTGTCACTGTGTTTGAAACTGAATTTTAAGACCATAAGCAAGGTGTTTTCAGTCTGCTCACCATCAGTTCAAAGAAGAACCAGGCCTGCTGTAGGGCTGCCTCCCGCACGCTCCCACTGCAAACGACCCACTGTAAGGCCAGCTCTTCATGGAAAAGCTACATGGATTCAAATGCAGAGTTAACCTTGGTCTCAAAACAGCTCACAAAAACAGTCTGCATGAGAAATGGTAGTTCAGTCCATGGGAAGTGTGGCAAACAATGAGGTTAAGCGAAATAATAAGTGGGAACGTGACAGCAGTGGTGACAATCCTTAAAGAAACCCCCAGCTAACAATGAAGGACAATGTTATGATGTGTGATGTGAGAAATGCTTCACAGAATCTTGCTCTGAAATTGAATTTCAAGTGTCAAAAGAATTTTCCACCCCCCTCAAAAAAAAAAAGAAAAAAAAGTTTTGTGCTCAAATGAGTTTATTTTAAAAGTCTACCTTTCTGCCTGGTCTGATTTTTGCAGGAAAAAGGAGTAAAAAATTGGACATATAAAGCAATTTGTACAAAGATATATTTACTGTCAAAAAGGACTTAAAACAGCAAGAAAGAAATGTGGGGATAAGAACTAGCTTCTTCATCTCTCTTCCCAGGAAAACCAAACCACAGACTTAAGTTGTCAGTGATCACATTTTTGAAATTCGGAGTCAGTACATTTTGTCTTTCTGATTTCCTTCAGTAGAATCTCATCCTGTACTTCCAAAGCAACTCCCAGTCACCGCCTGGATTTACTCTGGATTAACACCTATATAACTGAGGTCAGAACATATCCGTACTGCTAACCATCTAATACATAATAATTTTGCACACAAGAACGTATCACTTGCATGTCTAGACAGTGCTATTCATATTTTTTGAAAGCCAGCAATAAATTAATTCCAAACAGTACAGGCATTAAACCAGACATGCTACCCCTGATCATTTTACTCTTCCCAATTCAACTTTGTCAGAATATTTCCTATTCACTACAAGCTTGGGTATTCAAAGGCACTCAGCAGCAGCAGTTCCTAAGGACCTCAGAAAAAATCAGGCTATAAATAAAAGAATAGCTTGCATCATGGTTTTAGAATGATTTGACCTCCCTGCCCCACAATATCAATTGTCTTCACTGAAATCTACCTTTTTAGTTGGTAATCGTCCTGTTAATGTTTGTAAGAAACTTGACGTCTCAGTGTGCGAAGACATACGATTACAACTTCGATCCGTAGCCTACGGAGTGGAGATGAATGAATGATGACAGGACATTAAAGTTTGCTGTGGATGGGTTTTGCAGCTCAAGGACAATGTACGTTTACAAAAACACTGTTCCAGCTGTAGACTTTTACTGTTTTTACACCTTTTAATGCATTCTCAAATTATTACTTGCTCATAGATCCAGTTTAAACAAAATGACAACATCTTTTACTGTTTTAAGACATATAATCTCTTTAAATAGCTGCATTTTCTTATGCACAAAAACACTCAATGCTGCAAAGCATGAAAATTCCATAATTACATTTTATCAACATGCATATGTCAGGAAAGTAATATTTCTAGCTTTCAGTGTCATACCTCTCAATCCACCAGAGACAAAAGAAGTGGGCACGTACCACAGAGTGACATTGTTATTAGTCCAGGGAATTAGAAGAATTAGAAAATTACTGGAGTTATTATTTGTGTTGAAAATAATTTGCCATAAGTGCGAGTGAATTCAGTCTGAATATTTCTGGAAGCCTGGTTAATTTGAAAGTTGAGAGGTACATTCATACAGTTGAGAGGTACGTTCAGGTGACCATGCAGTGGAAAGCAGCAGGCAGTATGAGCTAAGTTAAGTCTTTCTCACTGAAGCTGCTTTAAGTTTTCATACTTTGCAACACAGAACAGCTACAATTGGACCTAACAAGTCAGTGGTTCCAGCATTTAAATTTACATGTTTTAAGAGAGAATTTTACAGGTGTAACAATTTTGGTTTAATGATACTCCACTCAAACAGTCATGAAGGATCGCTTGACTATGAATACTAAATGGTTGATGAAAATGGCAAAATGGTTCACAACATTAAAAGAAAAGGGAAACATGGACAAACTATGAAACTGTGATAAATGTTCCCATTAGAGAAGTGTTCCACCTGAAGTTAAAACTGAGAGAGGCAGGAAGGAGGGAGGAGAGGCAGGAAGGAGGGAGGAGAGGCAGGAAGGAGGGAGGAGAGGCAGGAAGGAGGGAGGAGAGGCAGGAAGGAGGGAGGAGAGGCAGGAAGGAGGGAGGAGAGGCAGGAAGGAGGGAGTAGTCACAGCATTTACATTTCACAGAGCAGCAATCACCAAAATGAGAGAAGGGGACATGGTCACATATTTTGAGGTTTTTCATGCAATGCAGTGAGGTGGTGAGGGAAAGTATGCTAATTTTTAAAATAAAGCCCATAAATCTTTCAGGGACTGAAAGAAAAAAAAAAAAAAAAGGGAAACCATCAAATCAGAGCATAAACTGAAAAGAAGATATTCTACAGGGAAACATCACGGAAAACAAAGCCAGAAAAACCTCTACTGAAGACACCACCTGCGTTGACTCTGCACTTGGGCTGGGGTTGGATCCCCATGGGGCTGCTTTTGGACCACCAGTGTTTACCCAGGAATTGGAGCGGTCTAAACCCTGGGCATGTAATAGAAAGCAGTTGGGAAAGGAAAGAAATATTACATGTTGCATGCCATACAGTAGTCAAAGTTTAGTCCTATAAAGCAATCCAACTGGATACACTGCAAACACATCATCAATTAGTACTGTTAAAGCAACCTGAATTGTCAGGCATTTGTTGAGAAATTTTAGTCTAGAGAATTATTTTATCTCATCTCTTTCTCTCTCTCTCTCTCTCACACACACACACACACGTCACATCAATATGGTCAATAGCTCTGGTTCAGTCTGTCCTACCTGTATTTCTTGGATATTCAAAAACTATCCTCATCCTGAGGAAATCCCGCTCTCATTTCAATCAAGATAAATACACCCCACTTCAGTCGATGAAAACAGTTCAGATTTACAACAATGTGAAAGAGGAAACTGGTGCACAGATACGGAAACCACAGGATGTTCGTGTGGTTTCCAACACTTTTGATACAGACCACCTGATACCCACAGTTCACAAGCTCTACAACTGCCGCAGAAACAGCGAGAAGCTTTGAAGAGAGTCTCAGCTCTCACAGGGTCTCCTTTCCATAAAATAAAAATCCAGGACTCTTGGCAGAGTTAAGCCTGTGAAAAAGATTTGGGCATTTTCACCAATAGGAGAAGGAGGACCCATATTTTCCAGGACCTGCTTTTCAAGAGAATTTTTTCTTTCGCAGATCTGCTCCCTTCTCTGTCCTTTCCCTTCTCCTCTCAAGACAGAAAGAAGGAAAAAAAAATCCAACTACTTTGTCACCTGAATTGCTCCAAAGTCAGGAATATTTGTGATCAAACTTGAAATCAGTAACATATGATTTAAATCATTAATCTACTGAGCTATCCTCTGTATAGAGTACAGCAGTGCTAAAATTTTGCTTAAGATACGGAATTAAAAAAAAATACTGAGCACACAGAGTGTTTTCATCTCAGATAATTTTTAGAGGAAACAAATTATAGCTCTCTGCCTTGCTCAGACACATAAACATGCCTGATTTTGCTCACAGTGAATGGAAGTCCAAAGGACTTGGCAGAACACAGAACTAAGGTCATCCATTCGGACTCATTTTGAAAATGCCCTTTTATAACACTCACATGTCTCCTCATATGCTTTCTAATCATGCCACTGAATTGGTCCTGAGTATAAAATAAACCATATACAATGTTGACAGGAGCAGGCATCAATTTGTAAAAATCTGAAAAGAGATTCTTCTTTCTCCCCTCTGTCAAAAACAAAGAGTGATTCTTGACTATCAGCGTAACTTCAAAGTTTACAAGTTCATCTCCAGTGTTTTAGAAACACTCAAAGTGTAAAATCTCATCATAGCTCGTTTTAGACACTTTAATAGATTTGCTTTAGTAGGTAATAAAATTTAAATGGCCGCATTCAAAAGTGAAGGCAAAATAAGTGACAGGCCTAAAGTCTCCTTTATTAAGATAACGTGCTGTAGTCTTGTACATCCTGTGAAAGAGATGATTGTTTGGATTTTCTGAATTAAGAAAGAAGCTTATATAGAGATGACTTAAAGTAAGTTTTCCCAAATTATGGAATATTTTACAACAAAACCGAATAAAGACTCAACTCCAATGACTTCAATCAAACAAATATTATTTGCTCTTTTTCAAAACAGAAAGCCTCCTATGACAGATTGTAATTTAATGTGTAGGTGCTCTATTTGGAAATATGTGCCTAAATCATTAGTTGGAGAAATAGAATATGAAATTTTACACATTTGTATTCATTTTACATCTCAAGAAATTTCTCATATATGTTGATTACTTAAACAAGGAGAAATAGTAACATTTAATTAAAAATCTGTATATTTCGACTGAGCCTAATAGCTGATGTTCAGATTATTCCAAAGGAAACTTCCCTACTAAGCTATCCATACATTAGTTTTTTTTTTTTTTTTAAGGTCTGGCATGTATCTTCAGAAGAAAATTTCTCTTCATTTTCTGCTGTGACATTCACTAAGTCAGCACATGTTAAACTTCTGATATCCTGTGTAAATTCCATATGCATATTAGTGCCTGTGGCATTTCACTAAAGGTCACGGCTGCTTAATTAATTAGCAAGATATCAAAGCAGTCTTCAAATTCTTTAAAGTCTTCTAAGTCCACACTTTGATGTAAGAAATAATGATTTGCCTATCCACACTTCTTCAGTTTCATAGTTGGTGAGCAAATTGTGTCATTACTCATTTAAAAGTGGTGACTTCTTTCTCAAACAATGTTTTTCTTGTTCTTGTAAAACACAAGACCAATGAATGTTAAGCCTGTCTGGTCAGCCTGAGGACTTTACTAAATAATTTATTTTTTGGGAAAAAAAAAAAAAGCACACAGAAAAAAAAAAAAAAAGAAAACAGTTCCATTTTGGTGTATCTTATAATTAATTAAAAATAAGTATATATAAAAAAATTCAACCCCCTAAACAAAGTAAAGCACTCTTCTATAGTAAGAGATTTGCACCAATATAAAGGTTTGGCCTGCCTCATCCCACCTATTTTAGGCATAAAATTGAAGTGCTCAGATTGGAACTGAAGCCACCCTAGGTACTCTGCAGCCAGCAGAGAGGGACAGGAATTTCAGAGGCAAATCAGATCTTGTGTAGCATAAATTATCTTTCGAGAATTTTCTTCTATTGAATACACAGGAAGGCCAGGCACCTATCTTCCCAAAGCAGACCACATCCGAGGCCAAGTGCCATAAATATAGATATGGAGCAGTCAGCAGCTGAGGCAAGACCCTCAGGCACTCTGAGCTGCTTTGTCCACCGTCACTGGAAGGTCACTTTTAGCCAGTAATAAAGATGTGGGGAATCAAAGGAGGTTTGGAATCAGCATGCTGTAAATTCATGCTGCAGCTCAGCTGGCCAGACTATGGCTCTCTTTCTAACCATGTGAAATCCTTGCTGGTGCAGGCAGGGACTAGGATTTCTGCACATACCTGCTCTGGACGTAAGTAGCACAGGAAGTATTTGAGTAGATGTTAGTGCTGAATGCAGAAGAAAAGGAAGAGTTTTGGTTTGGAAGGTAAGATTGGGATCACAGGGTGACAAGGTAAGCAGTGCAAGCTTTGGAGAGACATAACAACTGGTAAGAGGATATGGCTGCTGGCCACATGAAAACTCTGCTGGTTAAACCCCTCTTATTCTGCTGGTCTTGGGAAGACAAATCCACAAGGACTCTTGCCCCTAGCCACTACGCTTGGGAAAGTAACACTAGCAGAATGGTGTCTAGTATGTCACAGACAGAGAAATCACAACTTTCAGAGAGTGGAGTTCCAAGTATGTTACCAGCAACTATCAGAAAAAACCTTGAGAAGGGGCCATAAGCGTTTTCTTTTAACAGGAAAAACACTCAAGCTTCCCCATTATTTCTTTAATGATTAAATAAAGGATGCTGAAGTTCCTGCAAGACCCTCAGGAGTGTGTTCATACCTTACTGCCAATGATGGAGCGAACTTCATCGTCTGGCGACGTGGGGGTCCCGGATATATCGGGGTTGCTGTTGCTGAGGCTGCGTGAGCGGGTCAGGTTAAGACTCGCCGGCCGGACAGCAGATCGAGCCATGGTGGCATAATGCACTGATCCCCCTAGGCCACCAGGACCTACAGAGTCACAAGAAGGAACACCCTGTCACATCAGCAAAGCCTTGAACCCATGCTGCTCTGCACAGCTTTGCTGCAACTGTCCACCTAAGCAAGGAAATCTTTCAGTGATTAAAAGCAGCTGTAACACCTCCCATGCCTTCCTCTGCCTGGCTCTTCAAAGCAGCTGGGAGAAAGGGATGGCATTAACATACTATTTTTTTCAGTCATCTGTGGGAAGCAGAAAACTCCCTGTGGTTTCAGAGATTTGTTTTGAGCTAAAGGCATTATTTGCCAGACCCCAGATTGCAAAACCACTGAAGAACAAGGCAGTTTGAAGTACATAGCCATCCCAAACCCCTCATACGTGTTCCACTTCAAGTAAGAAGCAGTTTGTCTCGATAACAAGATGTTTTTCCAAAAGCCAGTTTTCTGTGGTCTCCTCCTTCCATCCAGACACCTATTTTCAAGTATTTTCACTCCTTTGCCACTGCATTATTTTTTCTGGAACTGTTTAAAAGTTCTAAAGTACTCAAGGAGACTAGTAGGCAGGACAAGTGTAGACTGTACTGCATCCCCCTACTTACCACAAAAAAACAAGTTAAAAAAATGTGTTTTACCATAATTTAAACAGTTAAACCTCTGACATTGCTAACTGCAATAAATCAAGCTTTTCAATGACTACACTGGATCATAAGTAATGTTAATAACAGGACTTGGCATGGAACCAACAGTTGGATCTCAGTGTATCCAACCAGCAAGCGCTTTCTGCTTGCTTGTAACAAAGTGTGACAAGAAGCAAAGAAAAAAGAAAGGGCTACCTGGTGATGGTGAATTCGGGTAGGTATTTGGTAGGCGAAAAACGTAATAAATATAGGAAGCAAGAAGGCTGTTCCTGCCGTGCTGGTCCTGGTTCCCATCCAAGTTTTTGTGAAGTCTGTTTATAATTGATGCCATTGCTTCAAAAGATGCTTGGCCCAGGTTAACTGAAAGTAGTAAGCGAGGAGTTCATTTTAAACTTCAGTAGAAGCCACAATCAAATATTAAATGTGCATTTCATCCACCTTCTAAATTATAAGCAGTGAAGTCTGTCAGGGTATAGCAAGCATTTCTCAGCTGGTCTAGTAAACAACTGAACAAGAAGATAAGTGTAGCTGGTAGCAAGATCAAGTCCTTGCTTAAATAACAGATAAAATCCTTTGGATGTTCACCATATTTTTCTCAGTTAAACATCTCCCTCCATTTAACTTTCAGCCAAAATATACAGTTTATCAAAAAGGACAATTCCATCTTGTCTCTGAAAAAACATCTGTTCTAAAAGTGTATCAGATCCACAATAAGTACAGAAGCATGTAACACCCGTTATCTCACCTACTCTAAGATTTTCCAAGGTAACTAGTGAGGTTGGAAACCTTAATTTTTGAGTGTCTGTATAGAGACACCATATCAGGTTCCAGTGGTAAGAAAGTGCTGAGCATCCAGTTCCTGGAAATTCAGGCCCCTTTCTGGTGTCTCAACTTGGATGTCCAAACTATAAGTCATTTTTTAAAACCTTTGTATTAACTACTGCTCCTGTATCTATCACCACTGATCTGGATGCCAGTATGTTTTATTTTGAAGATACATAATATATTAGCAGTATCAAAAATAAACCATAAAAATGGACTTTATTATTTTTACATATATACAATGGAAGCGGAAGTGTAAACTCTCAGTTATGAAATTCTCTATAAAATTTAAATAGAATACCTATTTGGCCTGCAATGACAGGAGGTCTTACTACCAGAAGAATCAGTTTGTCAAGCAGGAGATGAAGAAATCGCACTACCGGCTCCAGTTGAGAGGAATTTAAAGCTGAAATGCTGCTCTTCAGTTCATTTTCCAAGTTGTTTTCCATAATTCTCATGTCCCCTATTCGCACAGGGAACATGTGCTCATCCAGAGCATGGACAAGTGCAAAGAACTTGTCAAGATAAGGGTCCTACACACAAGCAAAAATGAATTATCAGCAAGAACCTCCCACAGCAACTCTGTTTTTTGTGGATTTGTGGCCTTCTATTTGGCCATTTAACATTGAAGTTAGCTGGAACTCAAAATCTTTTAAAGCTCTGCTCGTTTGTCTAATTATCCAATGGGTTGAAAAGTTTTCAGGACTAACTAGCAGTTCCCACAGGCTGTGTGACTGATTATAAAACAGTATTCTTCATGAAACAGGCAGAAGTTCACTGAAATCATGTCACCAATTATAGCACAAATAAAATATATATGAAGTATCAAAATGGCATTCTGACACTTAACAAAACAGACTAAAATGATCAGTGAAAACAACTCACCACCTTACATTTCAGATTTTGAATTGTACAAATCATTGTCAAATTATTACCACGCTCCCTATGATAAAATAATTGCTCTCGATGTTTACCTGAGTATGGAGGGAGGATACAGCAACAACTTCTACACTGAAAACACCTTTGTGATTGTCTACCCACTTCATTCCAGGAAGTGGCACCTGTAGGTTAACAGAAAGATAAACTAGTAAACTAGTACGTGACAGGAAGCAGGTGCTTCTAATAACTATTGTCATTCATTTTTATTTTACTGTCAGAGCACACACACACACACACATCAAAACTTAGCAGCATTTAAGAAAGAGATAACCTAGAAGTCAAAAATACACACGCACACACCTGTATATAATTGTACGCATACATTCTCCCACATTTTTGACAGGAGTACTTCCTGGTGGATTTTCAGCATGAAGAAAAACTCACCTCTGGAGAAAGCACCGAATACGCCTGTGGTGGTTTTTCCAGTGAAACAGGTAGGCAGAACTGACCCGTCTTTAACCGTCCATTTTGAAGCATTGGTATCCACTTTAAGGAGAATTTAAAAGGGAAGGAATTTTAAAAAGGCCAAACAAAAACACTAACTTCTTAAGGCTTTCTTGAAATTTGCAGGATTCAATTTCTCATTGAATCTTTCCTTACTTAAAAACACAGTTACTCCAAAATGCAACAATTATAAAATTATATAACGATGTACATGTCATGCTAAATGAATTGTAAAAAAATGCACTATGAATGCATGTTGTGTTGAAGCACAAAAGATGAAAAGACACTCACAGTGTATCCAACCGGAGTTTCCAGGGGAGTGTTTTGTTTTTGCTGGCAACTGACATGGTAGAATGTGAAAAGCAGGTGGTGATGATCCGTTAAAGTGGCTGGAAGCTTAATCTTGATTTCCTCATGAAAATCAGGCGACCTGTGCAGAGAGCAGACATCAACTGAGTATCAATAAAAACAGAGTGTCTTAGACTTGTTTCTATCATACACTTGAGATGGAATCCTTAGAATTAAAGCATCTGGAAGGAAGGAATATGGACTATCTCAAGGGAGGAAAAACTTCACTTTCTGATTGCCAAGAATTGGAAAAACTTGCAGTATGTATTTCCAATCCAGAAAAATACTTACAATATCTTCTAGCAGTTTTCCCAGCTTTGCTGAGATATATGGGATTTTAAACACCAATGGCATCGCAAAATTGGACAACTGCTTTTCTTTTTTCAGTCTAGGTATGTAAAACAGTATGTAAGTAATTAGGATAAACATACCAAAATTCATCATTATTGAGCTTGTTTTCAAAACTGTCTTTAGGTTCCAAGGTATTTTTCATGTTTAGTATAAACCATTAAGAATATGCTTATTTTTCTTAAGGATTTCTTTTGTTTGTTTCATGAAAATACAAAGGATAAATGAAAGTGTATACTATGAGTAACTGAAAAATGACCCTACAATAGGAACCTATTGATCCTACAACAGGAGTAAATAAAGTTATTTAAGAACACTTTCTACAAAAGAAAACAAACAAACAAAAAACTCCTTGTAAGGATTTTATTGTGATTCTGAATTCCCAATTGTTTAAACTGAAAAGATACAGAGACACTAGACCTGTATGTGAGATCTAGGCATCATTGGCTATGCCCTATCTTGTCACTACTGAAAGGAACACTGTCATTCTTCTATTTTCTGTACCTAAACTGTCCATTTAGCTCATTTTTATATCACGTCATGGTCTTGTCCATCCTGCACACATAGCATGTCAACCATGGCTTCCTTCAGAAATAGCCAATTTCTTCCAAAGGAAATTTAGCTTGCAGAGGAATTTGCTCTGTAACCTGCTCCAGAAACTCAAATAGGATTAAATTCTATTTCATTACAGCAAACCTGGCATGCCCAGATGCACAGACCTGAGAGATGAAGGTCCTCCCCTGGTACAGTTACAAGCACAGCAGCAGACATGTTAAGGCTAGATTCAGCACTCCTTAGCCAGCGGCAGTGAAATCATTTTCAAGTGAAAATATTTCTAATTTGTAACTATGGTCTGAACAGCTCTGAGTACCTAATAATTCAGCAAATTAACAAAGCACACACTGACATGAGTGTTGCAACATAAATCTTCATGCCTAACTTGAAGCAGGTATTTATAGCACCTGTTGAGTTTGGTTAAGTGCTTGGGATCCTGGCTTCTGGCACAGTGATCTTGATTTGTACCAAAGTAACCAAAGACTCAGGCTGCTCGTCACTTCAGAGCTCTAACTACAGTATCTCCTGACACTGCAGTTATTGTTTTAGGTGCTGTGTAGATGGCCACCATTAAATAACATGGAGACAGATTCACTACTGAGTTACTCCACACTCATACTGCTAAAGCTCCTTCTGGTTGGAATTATACTATCCACAGGGACCCATGCCTTTTTATAAACTATCTTGTTTTTTACCTGTTGTGATACACTACAGCTGTGTATGCTTCTTTGGAAAATTCAGGACAGCTAGATTTGCCAAAGATGACCTGCAAAAAAACAAACAAACAAAAATCCCCCTGTTATATTGTGCCAAGAATTTGTTCCATAATCTTGTAGAGGTATTTACAGCTCCATCCACAGCTACAGCCAGTGCAGCTGTATGCAGTTACTGCTTGTTACTTGATCCTTAATTCCTATGTAACATTTTACTGAGTCACTGAAGAGTTTGGAATTTTAATAATCCCAGTTACAGATGCACACAGATATAGCTGAGGAATTGATCCATGTAACGACTCTCTAGGCAGGAATAACAGTGAGAGAATTTCTTTGCTCTATTCCTCATCTGCAGATAGGCAAAAAGCAGGAAGTTGAGAAAAAATCCAGAGACAGACAGAGAGAGAGACAGACAAAACATCATGGAAATCAGGCCAACAGAACCTACCCAAGGCAAGGCACCTCACGCTTAAAGGTTCACCAGTGCTGACCACTTCTGGCCTTGAACACAAGTATAACCATCATCCTCAGGCATTTTTTGGGAAACTGTAGCAAACATACCATTATTCCAAACGCAGGGACTCCATGGCAAACATTTCAGGTTAAAATACTAGCTGCTATTATTTGACAAACTCCATATATACGCCCCCTTTGCTCTAAATTACTACAATTTTATATTCCCTAGAAACTGTTAGTTTGAAATATATGTCAGCAGGGCTTTCTTGAACATTGGGATGTTAGGGCTGCAATGTGTGCTTTGCCTTAGCAGCATGCGGCACTCGCAGAACTGAGCACAAAGTACTTCCTCACCGGCATAGCGTTGCTTGGATCCTCTCCATACATGAACTGCACTTTTACAGTGATATTCCTGGCAGATCCTTGGCGGTTGGCAAAGTTAAGGCTCTGAGGATAGACATAAAGAAGATTCCTGCAAGAGATAAATGCACTGAGTGAGCATCTCACTGAAAAACACACAGAAACTCGAGGTGAAGGGCTTGACATTTTCCATTAGCCAGATGGTCTGCTCCTGAATTTAAACCAGCACACAGGCAATTTGGTAATGACTCCTAGTTTCAGACACCAAAGTCACAATTTTCTTAACTGCCAGGATATATCAGGAGGGCTTCCAGTTTACGATCATGTTTGAAAAATAAGTCTGAAAACTTCTCAGTGATTATACTATGTAAGATGTTTGAGTGGAAAGGAAATGTATCAACAGATAAACACTGAGAAGTGTTTACTGTTCAGCACCGAGCGGCTGGTTTTCTGCTAAATACCTTCCTTGCTGGAATCTGTTTGTTTTTGATCTCCTTACACCATGATGACTTTGGATTACATGTCTCCCCTGAAAACTGAAGTAATGGATACCCTTATGATCAGCAGATACGCAATCTTTGCAGTGACTCAGATGGAATGGCGCCTCCAATTCCACACCTAAATCCCACACTTCAGGGAAGGTGTGGTTCAATTAAAAATTACCGGAGAGAAAGAGGGACAGTCAAGAGATCTGGGAAGCAGTGGGATGGACCAGCCTGAATCAGGGTTGTTCAGCTTCGAGGAGGATGGCTAGGGAATGGGATGGATAATGACAACACTCTAGAAGTACCTAAAGAAATGCTGCAAAGAGCAAAGTAATAAAGTGTTCATCATATCTACAGGGGATATGACAGCAAGTAATGGGCTGAAATTGCAGCACAGAAGATTTAGGTTAGATATGCGGGAAAACTTTCTGACTATAAAGCTAGTTAAGCAGCAGAACAGATTGCCTGGGGAGGGTGTGAAATCTCCATTTTCTGAAGCTTTTAAGGACATCTTAGGTAAACATCTGTCCAAACTGTTTTTGACAGCCTCATCCTTCACTGAAGGGAGCCAGATTTTCAAGGTCTCTTCCAGTTCTATTTCTTCAAGTCTATTATTATTTTAAACACAAAAATGAGCACGTGCAAAATTATGTGTTTTTTCTGTCTCCTTAGCCCTCCTGAGCTCCTGCAAAGAAAGGAGAAGTTTGATTCACACATCATTAGCAAAACTGTCAACTATGAGTCCCAGAGCTGCCATAGGATTGAGATTTCATACCTGCAGAAAGTCCCTTATACGTTCATACGAGGCCATGAAAGAATGGCCCTTGAACCATTCCACACAACAGATTAAATTATTCAAAGGAAATGCACATTTTTTACTACAAAATAATAGACAAAAGTGTACCAATTATCCTATATCTAAAAGAACTCAGACTGGAAATCATCTCTCCAGCTTCCACATGCCCTGCCCATCAGGGAGAGGCATTTTCCTCCTAACGGCACTAGGTCTAGGGCTACTGAGCAGCCTGGTGGGGAGGACCCTGCTTGCCAGCAAGGAGAGGCCTTGGCTCACACTGCTGCCTTGCACGTCTTAGGAAAAGGGATGGAACAGTCACCGCTTCCAAACACCGAGGCAACCCGCTCTGTAAGGAGCCCTGGCTTGTAAGGAAGAGATAAAAGAGGTTCCCTTCCAATCTGCCCCCAGTTGGGAACTATTCACTGACTCTGAGCATAATCTGCAAATAGTTTCCAACTCTGCTCCTCATCTCAGAGAGACGACAGATGCAGAAAGGAAACTACAATGAGGAGCACAGTGGGCTAACTTCTTAAGTGCAATAAAGCAGCTGCTACTGAGTGCTGGCAACAGTAGGCTGAAAACAGGAAGACACTTTTTTGATCGTCACAACAGCAGTGATTTGGTTGCTCTGTGGAGGCATCTGGCGCCATTTTAGATGCCAAGGAAACCCAAACATCTGCCCTGGTTTGGCAGATGGTGATATCTTTCTCTGTAGAGACACAGGCTAATGCTGGTCCTAAGGACTTCTCTAAGAGCCTCAGAAGAAAAAGATACTTCCTACAGGCTAGCACCTACATCAAGAACCTATACCAATGTAAAGCTCCAGAACATGATACAGGGCAGCTTTATTAAGCTGGGCAGATGAACATGCTTGGCTGGCACATGAGAAATTTCTTCTTTCTCAAATGAAGTCCTTCATGCTGAATTAAGTTTTTGAATTCCATCCCCATTGGTCGCTTTGCCTAATCAACATTCGCTTTTTATTTCAGAGGGGGTCCGTGTCTTTTTTGCGACTCTACTAAATTACTTTGTTCTGGCATGAATACATTTGCTCCTTGATGTGCTTTTTAAAATGATAATGGATATGAAAATTTACTTTAAAATGTACATTGCTCATAAAACTTTCATTAAGTACTATTAGTGCTTAAGAGAAGGATTTAATGTATTTGGGAAGCCCGGCTACATGATCCCTATATTAAAGGCAGTCTTACGCTTGGGGCTGATTTATGCTGAATATTAGAGATTAGCCTAAACCAAGCTTTCAGTTCCCATATCGCCTCTTCTGCTAGGAGCAAAGGAGGCATTTCAAACAGTTTGATGCCACCCTAGAAAGAGGGTGACAGAGACTTACCACAGACATTCGAGCTGACACTACATTTCAGCCAGGGCTTTGGCTTAATTCGTAACAATAAACATGGGGAGCGCCGGACCAGCCGATGGTCCCTCTGCTGCCTTGTGACATCCTGTCATTTGAGAGCCTCAGAGGACAATTATCCTGCATTTTTTTTGGGAAGAAGCTCATGTTGCTTAGGAAAATTTGGATGCTCAGGTCCTGCTGTGGGACGGTGGGAGAGCTGGATGCTTGCTCCTATTCAGACAACTTTTCTCCAGAGGATTTCCTGCTACAGATGTCAAGATTTG